TCAACACTTCAAATATGGCAAATAACTCCTAAATTTTTAGCACAAGCAATGTTACCACACACGATAACCTCAATCCTAATGTTACCCCACATAATGACACAATAATGCTGAAATTTCAATTGGGATAAGCCATTATACTAGAGCGGACCAATTTGAGTCCGTAAATATCGAGAGATGCGAATTTACCACTTTAGGGCCACCACTATTTGTCCTAAAGTCTCCAACAATCACATAAATCAATCAATCACGATCGAATCCCGAACACGCGGAGAACACGATCGTCTAGATTTCGCCGTATAACCTGAAACAGAAAACTAACAACACCAAAATGTCAAAAAAAATGTCAGGAACAAATTGTCTAAAGACACCGTAGTCGAAACGTCCACCACGCTCTCACATTGGTGACACGCGCCTGATCTCCGAGACCTCCTCTGCCTGCACGTCACGCCAATGGTCTCCAATTGTCTACCAGGTCTCTAGATTTGCTAAAAATCATGAAAACAGATCCAGTTTTTAGGCAGTTTTCTAACAGTTTTTCGATATGTTTTTCTGCTTCGTTTCAGCTACTTTTCTGATCGGTTTTTGGTCAGTTTTTCTAGCCAAATCCACCTCCTTGACGCTCTAATACCAACTATCGTGGAAGCTTGCTCCAAATGTCGTCAAAACGGTGTTTTTCGAACTCAGTTTCACGTTACCTTTCTCTACCAAACAATCAATCAATACGACTTCAACCCACAACCAATATATTCACCTTGATTGCTTCTCAATCTCACCCACAAATGACAAAATAATGGTGATAATTTGTAGCCACAAAGCCAAGAAGAAAAACCAGTGAAAGAGACACAAAATGGAGACCAAAAATGAAGGAAACAAGTGCCGATTTTTTGAAATAGTGGCAACAGAATTTTTCTCTCCACAATGCACACACGTTTTCTCTCTCAATAGGGCTGTTGTGTTTTCTCCTTTCACTCACAAATCATCCACAAAATGGCTAGGGCAAAGACGCCATATATAAATATAGGTTAGGTTAGACTTAGTTTGACCAATAAAATAGGTTAAATTGACCAAAATTCAAAGTCATCCAAGAGGTAATATATATGGGCCATGATCAAAATTAATTGTTTAAGTTACTTTTAACGGCCCAAGTTGTTTTCGGGTTGAGTCTTTGAATTTGGTTGTTGATAATAATTTAATCCAACATTTACATCATCGTCTGAGATTCATTGGGTATCAAAACCCAATAGTGCATAACCCTTTAATCAAAGCATAGAATCTATTATCTAAAAAATAACATGGGCTTTAATAGATTAATTCTTTTATCCTCATTATTTAGATTTTCTCTTACTTTTGGGAGGTGGCCTTTATACCCGAGTGAGAAAGACTCGTTCTTAAGTTAAGGGAAAATTACCAAAACTCAGGCATTAAGTTTGTGCTTTTAAAAAATCAAGTTTTTATGTTTTTTTTACATTTATCGGGTTTTTTTATCTTTTAAAAAAACTTTTTTTGTCATTTTAATTAAACAATTAATCAATTAAAACCTTAATTTTTCATTTCATCCTACACCCCCTCCCAATTGTTTCTCTCTCCTCCTCCCTTTCTCCCCTTCCCCTTCTCCTCACTGCCGAAGCGTCGAGAGCAGCGTTCGTCGACGCTGCTGTGAATCACAGTAGCGTCGGCGTCACGATGCTGCCCGGGTGGCGGATCTAAGCTGTTGGTGGCTGTTGTGGCTGGTGGGTGGGTGGATTTTCTGTAGGTGTGGCTGTGAACGGGGCGGGTGGTTGCTGCAGCTGTGGGTATGGCTGTGGGAAGCTATGTGGTGGATCTCTGTGTGTGTGTGGCGGTCCGTGTGGTGGAACTGTTGTGACAATGGTTGTGTGGTGTTGTAGCAGGGTCGATGGCGGCGGTGGTGTTTTTCTTGGTGTGGTAGTGCGGGCGGCGATGGAATGGTTGTTTTTTGTTATTATTATGGCGGTGATTATGGTGGTGTTGTAATGGGGTGACAATGGTGGTGTTGTTCAGGCGGCGACGGCGGTGGTTTAGGTGGTGGTGGTTGGTGTTATTGTTGGTGGGTATTGTAGGGATTAGGGTCGGCGACGAATGAGACGAAGTATCCGTGACCAACTATTTGGTCGTTCTGTGACCTGTGATAAAGTATTGTTGGCGTATTGGGATTGGGGGACGGGTGTGGCTGATGGGTCGAAATGTATGTGACCATCTATTTGGTTGATCTATAACCTACAAAATTTTTGATTTGCGACCGATAAAAAAATTGTGACAAAAAAATTCTAGATCTGTGATTTCGAAATAATCCGTGACCTATAAATTTTTTTATCTGTGATCGGAGAACAGTCGTCGGAGTGCTTACTGGTCACAAGAGTAGTCACCGGAAGGTGGGGTGGGGTGGGTTAATTATATTATATTACAGAATTTACAGTTAACTATTTAATTTAATATAATAATTGTGAAATATTATTAATTAATAAACTTGATTTTTGAAATTCTAAACTTTGAGGCCTGATTTTTGATTTTGGGATAGATAAAGTCTGAGTTGTGAATTTTTCCCTTAAGTTAACTTCGTTTGAAAATTCATATTGCAGTTAGCAATGACCCGGTAACTTTTAGGGACTTGAATTCGAGAAACCCATTCTTCATATTATTATATTCCGAGAATCTATATAGGGTTCAATGGCGTGTTCGATAGGGATTAAAATTGAAAAATTAGCCGTTATTGTTGATTTTTATTAGACGCGTGGGACCCAATGACGTCCATATTTTCAATTTTAATTGAGTTTTAATTTTTACCAAACGGGCTATAAAGTACGCACATTTATGTTTTTTATTCTTCTATTTTGTATAATACCCCTCTCAACAAGATTTTACTTTTGTGTTTATGCATTCACAATGAGTAAATTAAATCATTTTCATTCATGAATATGGACCATACAGTTGTACCCATCTAGGGTTCATCAAGAAGAAAATGAAACACGCTCTTGGGAAGAGTTTATAGAGCATGCATCCTTAAATTCTGTATAGTTGCAATCTATAAATGCCATCAAGACGATATTATTGGATAA